CCCGAAAAAAAAAAATTTATATAACTACATGTATAAATAAGAATGATGTATTTATAAAAGGTTGAAAGGCATAAGCTCAACATGTATTAATTTAACTAAACGATTATTCATATACCAAATTGTATATATTACATTTATATATACATATACAGATTTGGTGTACATATATACAGATTGATAGCAGAAATGTTAATGTAGCATATGTGTTAGAAAACTTTTAATATATTATCCATATTTACATATAGATGTCATATACTAAATTACAATATTGTACCCCTAAAACAATACTATTATATCTTTAAAAAAAATTCAATTGGATAATATGTTCAAAGTAACAGAACATGTACGGAATGCGATTGTTAAATATCTTATGCTGACAATTTTTGTTGATTTCAGCAACTTCTTGACCCCGACTTCGCATACAATTTATTTTCGTTCAAAGAATTTTAAAATTGTTCACCAAACTCAAAAAAAAATAAAAGTTATAGAAATAGCATAACATTCTTGTCCTAATACCGTAAATTTTCATGAAGTTATAGGTAAATTGATTGTGTTGGTAAATTCTGTGAATGATTCGACGTTTCGTTGTAATTTGTAATATGTGAACGTTAACATTTGAATGTCATCGGTTCAGTTCATAATTTGTTTTAGACCATTGCTGAAACTTATGTAGCCTTGGTTCTAAAAGTAAAGCCAAATCCTGTTTTCAAAAATTAGATCAATCACGTTTTATTTAAATTGATTTTAGTTTTTTATTTCAAAGTATATTTATGATAGCCTTTTCCTTGTGATGCGACATATGTTATACTCATTGAAAATAAGAAAAAAAAACAGTTACAAACTACACAAAATTTACCCTTTTCAATCAAAACAAACATAAAATAGTTATACATGTGTTCTAAGAGGATTTCTTTTAAGTTCTTCACCCTCTCTATATATTTTGTATATATACAGGCAGAAAAGGATTTGATATATGGTAGATTTTTGAACATATGGAATTTCAACGTTTCCAAATAATATATTCTACATATGTATATACATTTAATTTGAATGGCATTTACATAATACACATATTTACGCAAATTTTTTAGATATATATATAGAGAGAAAAAAAAACTATGGTATAAGAAGGAAAAAGTTCCTTTTTCTTTGCCTTTCAAAACAACAAGGACTTAATATCAAACTAAAAAATAAAAAAAATTCCTTGTTGATAAATTCTGTTGATAAGAAAATTCTCTAAAGTTTATAATATTAAACAATATTATGTATTACAACTTGTATAAATGTTATCCTTTTAAATCTTATTTAAAAGGAATCTTTGTTTCTTGCTTTGATATTATTAAAATAATAATAAATAGGTATATGTATATGAGAATCAACCTAAAAGGATGTAATGAATAAGTGTGTATAGGTTTGTAAGTTTTTGATATCCTTTTATGGTTCTATATATATATGTATGTATATGTTTTCACTATACTGAAGAACTTAAGTTATTCTAATACAACATTCCGCAGCAAACTAAGAAGAAATATGAAATGTTAAGAAGTATAATTCTTGGTTTAACCGATTAGATTCTTAGATTTTTCTGTTAAAGAACCAAAGATAATTTAATACCTAGAATCAACTAGGTATTTATTAAAATTAAAGAACCAAAGATATTTTATACCTAGACGTTCAAATAAATAAATAGTCCATTCGAGTAGGACTGCCATAAATTGAATTTCAAAACAATGGTACTTGGAGCCTAAAATCGTGGTACAACAGGCAAAAATATGACACATTTTGTGTTTTATTAATGATCTACAGTTCTCAACATCAAAATGTATAAATTCAAACTGTTGTTTATTAAAATATTACATTAAATATTTTTTGATTTTTTTCGGTATCGAATCGAGAATTAGTAAAAATTATGTTTAGAAATAGGCGTTTAAGGCCAGCAACTTCTGGGAAACAAATGTTGTAAAATAAATGTTCAAAGATCTAGGAAATTTGTAAATCTAGATTTAAAATTATCTAACGACTTATTAATCTTGGATTAAAATTATTTAAAATCTTAAAAATTTTAAGTAAAAACTTAAATCGAAGAATAAATAACGCAACTGGAAAATTTATAACTTGGCATACTCAAAATATTTACAAGGAAATAATCACCAGATTTTCTTGAAATTGAATATTTAAGCTGTTTGTCCAAATTTCTTACTAACAAGCCTGTCAAAAAATTTCTTCGAAAAGTTAAGCTACACTAAGAACTAAACTACATACATATCGCAATATTCATTAACTAGAACTTTTAATCTACGTAAAATTTTAAAGAAGTGTCCAAAGGATATTTTAAAGATTTATTCTAAATAAGAATAGAAATTATAAATTTTCTTAAGAATCTTTCAATTTGTTTAGAAATTCCAAATTTAATAAGAATTTTCTATAGAAAGTTGTTCTATTATACAACAATTATAAAAGCTTGTCATACTTTTCATATTTTTAAAAGAACCGACTTAAAATTTTAACATATATACATATATCTGATTGCAATTGATGTTACATTATGCTAATACCAAACTGAAGAATCTTCATAAGGACCCACTATACAAACGCATATTTATATGTAAATGCACAAAATTTTATGTATGCTTACTTACAAAATATAAAAACTTACCAAGAAGTTGGTTATCTTTGTAATCTCAAATAAAGAAAAAAAAATGAAGAAAGAATGAATATAATATGAAAGAAATTGAGAGTTCTATAAACTCAAGCCTAAAGGTTATACTCGTATATGTGAATTACTGTACACAACAATGTGGTAAAAATGAACCACAACAAAAAGAAACCAAAATTTAACCAAAAAAAAAATAAATTTTTTTTTTCTTTTCACTTTACTAATATAAAAAAAAAGTAACAATTTTTGTTATTACTTTTGATATTGAGGGCTAGTGAAATCCTTTTTTGACAGAAACATTAAGATTAGATAACAAGAACCATAAAAAATTACAAACAAAAAAAAAACAGAGTTTTTGAATACAACAAAAGCAAAAATATCCATTTAAATTTTCTTATAAAACTACTGATTACCCAAGACAAATAAAAACAATAACAAGAACAAAAAATATCCTTTATATCACCAAACATACGAATGATTATAGTGATTTTCTATTGTGCTGATATGACAAAAAATTCTTCTATTCTTTGATTTAATAAAATCCAGCCAACTTTAATAAACTTGTACTATTGTTATTCGTACATATATGAAAAAGGATCAAAAATATTTCAAAAATCCTTCTATGACATGTTTTTTTTCTGCTCTTTTGTTTTTCTAATCACTCTTGTGTTGGCATTTTCTTTGAAAAGTGGCGAAACAAAAAGACCATTTTTATTTTATTTAAATTCTTTTTCTGTAAATTACTTAAGGCATTACTAAAAAAATTTTAATTTGAATAAAATCGCAATTTTCATGTTATTTAAAAGACACAAAAAAAAAAACAGAATAAAAAATTTCTTACAACATATAAGAATTTCAATAATTTTTTAAATAATTTGCGTACACAAATATAGTCGAAAAATTCTACATAATTTTACCCTATCAAAAAATTAAATTATGTTTTGTTATACATATAAATTTTTCCAGTATTTTAATAAATTCCTGACATTCTTATAATTCTGGTTAAAAATATGGTGGGGGGTGGGTATAATTTGAGAAGAATTTCTATATTGCGTGAATCACTTATATATTTCTATAAGTGTTGAGAGTTTTCAGTATTTTTCAAAATATTGAAATTAAGTATTGGGAAATCAATAATTTTTTATAATAGTAAGTACTCTATTAAAAGATTTTAAGAAAAAGGTACTTTTATAAGTTGTTAATTAACTCGGGTCGGAGAATGATATTCACAAAGAAACATTTCACTTGAATTATGTGTTTTATACGACAATAGTAATTTAGCTTAGGGTTGTTAGAAATTTGTTTCTGAATTTAAAATTTCTGAAATTTCTCAAAAATATAAAAAAATTTAAAATTTTAAGTTTCATGTGTAAATTTAAATTAAATTATATGGCATGTTGTGGCAATGCATCGCGACCCAAAAACTTAATCCATTTTGCCCTCCCACCCTTTATCCTATCATGTCTAAAGCGGCCCCTAAAAACCTATCCTTCTGACAAATTCGAAAATCTTATGTAAGAACAAAATATTTATTCTTCTCTCCTGTCTTCAAAAGAATATATTCAAAAAAAAGAATCAAAAAAACAAAAATTGTACTAATTTTATTGTAGATTTTTACTTGCTTTCTTTCTCGTTTTTGTAAAAAGTTTAGTATATGATGAACAATCATAATCTTTCATTGGTAATTCTGCGGTCATAAGATGAATTTATTATTTCTCAGTTTCATAGTTCAAATTTCTGACGTACAACTTTCAAACTTAAAGTTTAAGTCACAACTACGTGCTATGTTGTAATAAAAAGTTTTCATAAATTTTAATTTTTAATAATACTGCTTAAAAATTTAAATAAATATAGGCGATATCATCTAAACTTTTCATTTTAGTTTTCGAAATACTAAAAATGTTTTTGACACGAACACAAGTTGCCGAAAAAAAAATTACAATTTAAAAAATTTAATCAAAATGCAATTTAATGAAGTTAGAAATTATGTAAATTATTCAAAATGAATAAGTTTTTTACACAACTCTGTAGTATTGCAACATTTTGAATATTTGATATATGAAAGTGTGAACATTTTGTAATTTAATTCCCATAAATCAAGCAGGGCTTACTTTAATGCAAAAAATGTGCTAGGTTCTGTATGTTAGACTAAACTTTGACTTATAGCTTTTATAAAAATAAAAATTAAAATTTTATTAAATATTAAAAAGTTAAAAGGGCGTTTTAAATTTATAAAAGTTGACTATGTTAAATCATACGATTTACTTTTTCTAAAAAAAAAATTCCTATAAATAATAAATGTAAAAATAATTTTTCTTATTATTTTTTTTTTGTATATTTTTAGACGAACAGTGATACTAGTTCCAGTTCAAAAGAGGGCGATAAAGAATCAAAATTTTTAGTTAAATGTCGAAGGAAATTATCGAAACGTGATCATACAGGTAAATGCGTTAATAAATAATGACATTTGTATATAAAAAGATGACAACAAATGTGAAAAAAACAAAAAAAAACACAAATCTGTAGTCGTTGTCCTTATTACGAATTCATTGAAAATTCTATTTATGAGTTTCCAATAATGTGAAATCAACAAGCTTCAATTTTTTTTTATATACATTGTGTGTTGAAAAGCACAAATAATTTTGTCATCCTATCACGTATCGTTTTTTTTTCTTTTATACGTTTCCTTTTAATTCTTTTTTTTTATTATTTTTTGCTTTTTGTTTTTTTTTTTAATATAATATTGCATTTTCAACTGGATTAAATTTTTATGTATTTTATTTTTATTGACAATAAATTCTATTTAAACTTTTTAACTTATATAAAAATTTTAAAAAGCAATAAACAAAAAAAAAAATAGAGATTCTTCATAAAAAAAAAAATAAAAAAAAAATAGTAAAATTTTTCCAATTTTCTTTTTCTTCTCGATTTTTACTTGAATTTCAAAATATCAACAAAAAACTAGACGACGACAACGACAATAAGAATAAAAAACAAGGAAAAGAAAAATATCAACCGAATATCAAATGTGTCCTTGTTGGAGATGGAGCTGTTGGTAAAACAAATCTTATTGTTTCATATTTAGAAAATCGATTTATTGCAGAACATGTCCCAACTGCCTCAGATATATATAATGGTAAGTTAATAAATAATACATAAAAAAAAAGAGAAAAAAATTTTCTTTTACTTTTTACTCTTTTTTTATTTTTAAATTTTATATTAGCCTTTTTTAGATAACATTTTAAAAATAAAATGAATTGTAAAAATAAAATGAATTGTAAAAATATTCAGTTGTAAATGTTTGTGTGTGTGTGTCTATAGATACATATAATATTATACATATATTTCCTCATATAAAAAATGAAATATGTAAATGATAAGTGCTAAGATTACAGGAGCTTACATTGCCACAATTTCATGTACATATAGCAATTTTATTTGATTATTGCTGTTATGAGTGAAGGCTTTCAGTAAAAGTATTATTAATTAGGTTTAATAAAATTGCGGTATAAAGGTCTGTGTTAAAACGTGTATTAAACAACATGTTTTCTTAAAAATAACTTAAAAAATAAGCTTTAGAAGATTAGGTATTTGAAATGCCTAATAAGCTTAAAATACGTTCGATTCGAAATTTTCAATTATAGATTTCTTTAAGACTCTCGAATTAATGAAACACATGAGTTGGATTTAATTTTATTGTAAGTACTGTGTTGATATTCCTAAGAAAACACCAAAAAATTCAGACAGTTTCAAACAAAATCAAAAAAAATTTCTTACGTTAAGTACTGAGAAAATATCTTAAATAGCAGTAGGGGTTTTAAAATCAGAAAAATTTCTTACTTTTCTGATTTAAACAGAAATAGTAGAAAATCAGAAAAAATATCTGGGCCATATTGTATATTAAACTATTATAATATTGAGTAACGTAAAAAAATATGCATAAAAATGAAAAATCTTTAAAAAAAAATTATAAATTAAATTTATTTTGACAGAAAGCTAATTTAAAAGGAATCTCAATCTATGATTATTTCAACTTTTATATGAATGTGTGTATATGTACATATTTACGAGTATAAGAATAATACGTGTATATAGTATGTATATATATTAAAGTGAAATTTAGATAGGGATGTCATCAGCATGTTTTTGTTTTTATATTCTTGTATTTTCTGTATTGAAAAAATGCAAATGAAAGTTTTTGTTTGTTATTTTTGCCTAAAGTTATGCAATCTAACATTAAAACTTTGTTTATTCACATTTTTCTTTTGGTTTTGTCTTTGTTTAAATTTCTTTTTTTAAATTATTATTTTTAGTAGTGTCCGTAACTATCGACTTTCGGAGAAAATGTAAATTAGATTAAAAATGAAAATGAAATTGTTATACTACTCGTACAGTGACGACCATGTAACATCGATATTATAATATCAATATTATTCTTAATATTTTATTATTAAAAGTTAAAGACAGACGCAAATACATAATATTGCAATTTTGCTGTTATATAAGTTTTCTATTGACCTTTTTTTTGGCAATAAATGCATCAATTAATTCAATTTGAAACGTTCAAATTGAAAAAATTGTTAAAATATTTCTTACCAAAGTGCTCTGACGTACAAAATTACAATATTATTGCACTCTGTGTAATGAACTACAATATTTAGGTATGAAAAATAGTACTCATATTGGATTTATATTACGTTTAATATTATGCTCACACACATCTAATATTAAACTAATAATTTGAGCAAAATTTTGAATGTTCTACTGTCTTGAATGTTCTACTAGTATCAAATATTTAACCTAAAATTCTTTAAATATTTAAAAGATTTTCTGTCATCCAAATTTTTATACTGTGCTTAATTCTGAAACTAAAATTAAGCTAATTTGTTCTTTTTCATTAGAATACTATAAAAAAATTTTGAATTTGTTAATATATGACATAATGTACACATGACAAAATTTTGACGTTTATATTATCATAATGATGCAATTTTCCGATAGAGACCACCATACTTGAAATTTTCTTATTAATTTTCTTTTTATTTTAAAATATTTTTATAATGTATGTAAACTTGCGGCAATCATTTATGGAGCCTGTTTAAAATTAAAATATTCAAACTATGATAATTATTATTTATATTTTTAGAATAAATAATTTTCTAATAAAAATTTTCTCTTTTATTATAAATTGATTTTAAATCAGTTTTCGCTAATTCGATTGATTTTATATTTTATGTATACAGATTATAATAAAATAGAATGTAAATTTTTTTTAAGAATATTTTAATAGGCACTTTATTTGTTTTTTTTTTTGTTTTTTTATTCAGAAATGGAATGAAATCTGAGGAAAATGCGTGATTTGACTATTGATTAATAAATATTTTTATTTTATATCCGTTTAAAAGGAATTTTATTGTTATTATTATTATTTTGTTTTATTGTAATTTTTTATTACTTTTCTATTTTACATAAAAAATATTAAAGATTTAGTTATTTAAGAATTCAAAATATGAATTAGCAAAAAAAATTTTCATGTTAAGTGACAGGATATGATTTTGAATATTTTCTAATATTTATATATAATTTTTATGTGGATATATACATAAATATATTTTCTTTATACATACATACATACATAATGTTTTCCAACTTGACGTAACACCTTTAAATAAAAACAATTCGGATATTCTCAAAAATTTTGTTAAAGTAATGCATTCTATTTAATTCTAGCAAACAAATTAATTTTACTGTGTTTAGTAATCAATCAGGTACAACTTTGAATTTATGATTATTGATGTTTACTATATAAAATGTCTTATTACATTTTATATTACCTCATATTCTCTGTCAAACATATCGTATTGTATGTTGTGTAGATTAAATTAACACGAAATAGAGCAGAATAAATGTTGTGCAGCAATGTATGTTGTGCAGAATAAATAAACACTTCAATGTGATAGTGAACGTAGTGCAATGTTTTTTGAATGTTGATCAAATTTAACGTTGATCGATTTGGGACATCTCAGGTCTCAAGAACTAGACCTATTACACAAGTTGATATAACATTTTTGATCATTGATAAAACACTAAACAAATTTTCCAAACAAATATATGAATTCCGTCTTCGACAAAACAGACAACTTTTTGCGGAAAGACGTACTGATACTCAGTTATCAGTAAGTGAGCTTTTACTTATATACAGAAAAAAATAACCATTCATTATAATTTACATTTTTAAACTCTTGTTAGTTAAACAAAGGAATCGGTAAGTTGTTCGGGAACATCAGAGCTCCGAAACCGAACTGTCACTAAGAGTTAATCTTACATTTTTACTATATTTGTAGGAGCTAATTGATAGTTTGCTGATATTTCACAATTTCTGAACTTGTGAATATTTGGGTTCTGATTAGGGAAATTTACAGGGAAATTTATTCACCGAAAATTTATTTTATTAAGAACCAAATTTACATTTTTTTAGCTAGATAAACTTAAAGTTTACTTCCTACCTTTCATAGAATATAAATAAAATATTCACATATTAATCTGTTCATATCAGATTTCTTTACGATTACAAATTTTCAGAAAGTCAACAATTTTTGAGAAACTACGATATAACATCTCTGTGTATACCGAGATTATTAAAATTCTGGTCAAATACATTTTATAAAGAGTAAATATTCTAATATTAAGAATATTTTTATTCATAAAAATCAGAAAAAATCAAAATATAAAAATTATTATTCAATACTTATTCCAAAAAAAAAAAAAAAATAAATAAAAATTAAGCATTTTGCTATGTAAAACATGAAGAATTGATTTGCCACTTAAGAAATACGCATAAAAACTTTTGTTTGTTCCTTTAGTATTCCTTGTGTACAACTTATAACAGTAAGTATATTGTGTATTTTACATAATATAATAAACTAATAACAAATCAGTTAAATTATTGATTTTTTGTTGTTGTATAGGTAAAATTAATTCATAAAATACAAAATTGAGTATAAGCACTGTACTATAATTTTATGAATCATTCGGTTTATAACAGTTTTAACGGGTAGAATGTTTGTACATAACGTACTTATGTATATATGAATATGAAAATTACGGATGATGAAAGTGGAAGTAATATTGAAATTGAATCAATAATAACTTTGTTTGCAATAAATTCCTATATTGAATATTTTGCAAAGATATTGTTGAAAACTTAGTTGCTTTACATGGTAATTTGAGCTAATAAAATTTTATATGAAAACATTATGTTGGGTAATTGTGTTCAATAAATGACACAAGTGTAAGAATTCCTCAATATTTAGTTTTATTACATGTTTTCTACCGATCGTTTACATATGTATATGTACATATTATGCAGTTATTTAACAAATTTTGGAAAGAGTTATGGTACTATATGGAAAATTTTTGTTATTTACTTAGTGTACTTATACATGGTATTCTTATATACTGAATTCACTATTTTGTATACCATTTCTTTGTATAGATATTGAGGTAGTAGATAAAATGTTTTTGTGTAGCTAGTGTTCCGATCCCCTAGTAAAGCCCTAGTATAAGTATAAGCCTTTGCTTATAGATCGGAACTACTAGGGCTTTAAGTGTAGGTTTACGTTTATGAAAATATGGTTTTGAAACTCTAGAGTAACTAATTTTATGTAAGTCTTTTAAATTTTGAAATCAAATGGACTCAAAATTTAAGTCTTCTTTCTACAAGTATAAAAAGACATTAACATTGGAAATGATGTAAAATTTTAGCTTTCTCTTACCTTAATATATCGCAAAATTCTGGAAATTGAGTTTTAATTTGACATTTCAACCATATTTTTATACAGTGCGTTATTATTTGCATAGTGTTTGTACATAGTGCAACAATTAATTTTATACAGTAAAGTGCTTTTACAGTGCTTTTATACAGTTTATAGTGCTTGTATATAGTGTTTCTTTCTTGTATGAGGCGAATGCGCAACAACAATTTTTTTAAATAAACTATAGATAAGATCTGATAGACTACATTGGAACAATGTAATAGTTGTTAATCTCCTAAAATTACTATATATTGAAATTTACAAAAATAACTGCGAATCGGTTTCATAAAATGAATTAAAAAGTATTTTCGAAACTATACTA